TATATATATATATATATATATATATATATATATATATATATATATATATATATATATATATATATATATATATATATATATATATTTGCAGGGTGCCAGCGACCCCCGACCGGTATGTGCGGACTGGTCAGCTGGTCGGCAGCCGATCAGTCAAGGGCGCCGGCCGTCGGTGTATGCAACACTGCAGTTGATAGATATGTGACAATATATGGGACCTTGAGGAAAAAAAAGAAGGAAGCTTAAACCAGCAGTACGTTTGCCAGTCATTCTCCTCCAACACAGCCGCATGCATACCACAAGTTTTGGGGGTCGGCCCAGCGGAGCAAAATGGCTGGCGGCACCAGTCAAAAGGCCTTTCCTTTCTTTTCTTTCTTTATTTGGCGTTTTCATGCTTTCTCTTTTACCTCTTCTTGTGGCTCCCCCTTGAATGTGCCTCTTATGAACTCGCGATGTTGATGTGGCCGAGTGTGGGCTGCCCACATCCCCATGTGCCATACTGGCCCTCTTGCACGCTGTGAAAAAGAGTAAGGGAGAGGGGATAAAGGGTAAAAAACGATAGACAAAGTAAAGGAAGACAAAGGGAAAGAAAGGAGTTTGGAACTTTGGAATGAAGATGAAAGCATAGGAAAGGGTAAGAGATTGCTCAGGAGCCAGCCTGTCCTTGATGACAGACAGGACATGAACCCTACGGATGACGTGGGTTATGACAGGGAAAGCCTAGCTGAGCATTCTCAGTCCAAACAAATGCCATCACGGCTGGCCACCAAACACTCCTGGCGGATGTCAGTTGCAGGCCAACATGAAGGAAGACGGACATCACAGTAGACCATGCACGGCCATGGCTTCGCTATAACGTCCCAGGCAGCAAATTAGACACACGATGTTCGGATGAAGATGTTGCCTGCAGTCAGGAGAGGAGGGATAGACCTCGCCACACAAGGGATGCAGAAACCATGGCATTATAGCATAGTTGCGGTGCAGCTCGGTGCGTGGATTTGCGCACACGCAGCGCACCGTGTGCACTGCACCACGCAGCGTGCCGGAAATATTAAGGTCCCCCCCCAAAAAAAGTAGGGGTTTCGTAATTTCCTACGGCACCCCCCCCCCCTGGAAAAAAATGTTCAACTCACTGCGCGAGTTCGGAAACCATCGACACCCTTGGCCGTAATTTTTTTTTGGGGGGCAAGGGCTGGCGAATTCTGAATTCTGCAGGCCACTCCCCCAAAAATTCAAAAATCGCGGATTATGAAAATAGGGCTCATTGAGCCTTATCCCAGTTTTCTTTTTGAGGCGGGGTGTGGTAACTCGACTTCCCCTTTCCTTCTGCAAATCCCACACAGTGGTGGACGAATTTGCAAGAAGGGTGGAATTGCCCAGTAATGCCATGCCCCACACTGTCTCGCAGAAGGCACGCTACATGTTTGGGGACTCCAGCTGACTACCAATATATGCTGAAGATTGGCATTCAGGTCTGCATGTCGGCAGTTCTGGGTTCGGATGAAGATGCCTGTAGCTCTCTCGTTTTTTTGTTTTTTTCTTCTTATGAATACGTACAGTGGCCCAAGGGGCCTTGCTCCACTACTCACCACATGCACAAAAGCCATAGCATATGGCGGTGTATGGTTCCATGTTTTAGCAGAAGATTCATTCAGATGTTATACATTCCGTGAGTACCACTGAGTGGTGGAGCTAGGCGCTGAGAATCACGTGGAGACACGAACAGGGTCTAGCTGAATTGGTGGCCCATACCTCTCGAGCCACAGACCTGAATTTGCACCCACAGAATATATTGGTGGTCTGCTCCCATCTCTCCCATATGTGACGCGGCCATCCTGCATGCTTAAGCGATGGTACTCAATGCCTCCACAATGTCCAAGTGCATTGTCGGAGCCATTTGAGTTACCTGCAGGGGCCCCTGAATTAATGTAAAGGGGACCATTTGCTCTCTCTCTCTCTCTCTCTCTCTCTCTCTCTCTCTCTCTCTCTCTCTCTCTCTCTCTCTCTCTCTCTGAATAATTTTTATTTTTTTTTCCTTCCGTGCACCTGGCGCACCGCCCACAGCGCACAGTGCGCACGCTGGAATTCCTGCGCACAGTGCACTGCGCACTGCCCCGCCACGCGCTGTGCACTGGTGCACCACAACTATGCATGATAGTGATTGTGGCAGAGACAATGGCACCTTGCAGGCAAGTGTAGTGTGTCCGTGGTTGTGTAGAGAAAAGGTTGCACAGACTTGACACATTGTCTTGCTGTGGCACACGGCCAGACAACTGATCTTCGCCATAAACCAGTGTGCAAACAGTTTGTCGTGGCAAGGAAGCAATCATCGTTGTATAAGAAGGTGCCAACATCAGTCAAGACATGGACTGTGGGGCAGTAGTCCCACGGCTCCGAGTGTTCAGAGGCATGGGCAATGGCCATGTAATGGCCAGGTCTGCGTACAAATACAGGCAGAGATGTGGGATGGAGGAGATGAAACCACTCACCGGGCCGAGCATGGCACAGTTCAAGTTGGTGGTCCCTCATTGCTACGAGTAGGACCATTACGTCTCTGGTATACTACCTACCCTCTGCCTCTAGGCAGGGAAGATCCGCATCAAGCTGAAGGGCAATTCCTAGAAAGTCTGACAATGCGTAAGGCGTGCGGCGGAAAATGTGCAGACACGTGTTAGCATCTCCAACTGGATAGATTGCCCTGTCATTACTGCTGTATCTAGACTGAAAGCTGCACCATATACAGCTATAATGACCGGGTGTTCTATTCAGGTGAAGATGGTAGTAGCCTCCTTCCCTGATACAGTAAACTACCCCCTGCCTCCAGGCAGGGAAGATTGGCATCAACTGAAGCGCAATTGCAAGGAAGTCCGGTGCTGTATAAGGCGGTTGGCAGAGATTGTGGAGACATACCAGACGCACATTACTGTCTTCATCTGAATAGGACGCCCAGTCATTATCGCTGTATCTAGACTAAAAATTGCACTGAATAAAGCTATAATGACTAGGCGTTCTATTCGGGTGAAGACGGCAGTAGCAGCCAAACCGTAGGCCAGGTTGAATTGACCAGAAAGCAGCAGAAAGAGACCTGCGACTTCACGCTCATGCATACATGAACTTCACTCAGAAATGTGACGGAATTTTTTAGAGGAATTAGAGGAACAGACAGCACAGTTTGTTCTTTGTTGTCGTGAGCGGGCTGGAGTGCTGGACACTGGCCAATAATTTTGAATTTGCAGGTTAGCTAAGTGATGTTCCATTACCTTTCTCAACCATTTGGCTAAAAATAAAAAAATACATCAAGCGTCGTGTCTGTTCCGATCAGTTCCATACCTGATCCGCAGGGCCACACAAAAAAAAAAAAGGTGTTCCAAGCTTGGAATGTCCTGGGCTGTGTATGATGATCATTCATTTGCAGATCACCCATGTGGTCTACATGTTGCTCAATAACTACTGTGAAGGCGCCTGTGGAGCCCGCGGGCGAGAGGCGGTTAACGGAGACCCAAAATTTCAGCGTTTTTTTAATGCTATTTATAAGAAAAACAGAAGCCCTTTTTAACCAAAAATTGCATCATTCTATAGAGTGCACACCATATTAACAAACCATTAAAAAAAACCGACAAAATAAAATAAAAAAAGGGTGAAACAGTAAGGCAAAAGTGCACTTGAATGACATTTTGGATTCAGCGAATTCTCAGAATTTTCAGCGTTTTTTTTTTGTTTTTTTTTATATTATAATTTGGACCATTTCTCGATTTATGTGTGTCATCCTTGCGCAGGGGCCATGCTAATCTTCTCTGTATCGTTCCAATTTTAACGGATGTCCCGAAGGACTTTTTTTGGAAATGGTCTTATCACTGTTATCAGAGGAAATTCCAACGCTCCAAATGAGACCAAATTTGGTACACAACAACCTTGAACCAAAACAAAAACAGGCAAAAAAAAAAAAAAAAAAAAAAAAAAACATAAAATATCACCCCCAGACCTAGGTTTCCTCCCCCGGGCGCCCGGGGCACCCGGGCCCGCCCGGAATGATGCTCGGGGCGCTCGGCCGTGCAACCCCCCCGGCCAAGCACCCGGACCCCCTCAGCGCCGTACCGAAAACGACGTCAAAATTTTTTTTTCGTGCCGCCGCCCATTGGCCTGCAGGGCCAAAAAAAAATTTGCGCCAAAACTTTGATTTTTTGGGGCCCGGTAGGCCCCTTTTCGAAGTTTTTTTTTCCAATCGTTTTTGGCCATCGATCGCCAGCGATCGACGGCGCGTGTAGCTTCCAGGATTCGAATTCGAATCCTGGGCTGCCCACTGTGCCCTCCGCCCTCCGCCCTCCGCCCTCCGTCCTCCGCCCTCCGCCGTCCCGCCCTTCGCCGACCTCATCGTCGTCCCGCGCCGTCGCCGTCCTCCTGCTGTCGCGCCGTCGTCGTCCTGCTGCCGTGTCGTTGTCGTCCTCCCGCTGCCTTCCCGCCGACTCCCTCAAGTGCTGCCGCGTGCCATCTCCACGAAGGTAAGCTTCTTCTTCTTCTTCTTCTTCTTCTTCTTCTTCTTCTTCTTCTTCTTCTTCTTCTTCTTCTTCTTCGTTTCTTCTTCGTCTTCTTCTTCTTCTTCGTCTTCTTCGTCTTCTTCGTCTTCTTCTTCTTCTTCTTCGTCTTCGTCTTCTTCGTCTTCTTCGTCTTCTCTGCTTCTTTTTCGTTTCTTTTTATTTTTCGCTTCTTCTTCTTCTTCTTCTTCTTCTTCTTCTTCTTCTTCTTCTTCTTCTTTGTTTTTTCTTCGTTGCTTCTTCTCCGTGTTTTTCTTCTTCGTTTCTGCTTCTTTTTTATTTCTTCTTCTTCTTCTTCGCTTTTTCTTCTTCCTTTTCTTCTTCTTCTTCTTTGTTTCTTCTCCTTCGTGTTTTTCGTTTTCGTTTCATCTTCGTTTCTTCTCCTTTGTCGTTTTCTTTTTCGATTCTTCTTCTTCTTCTTCTTCTTCTTCTTCTTCCTCTTTTCGTTTCTTCTTCTTCTTCTTCAACTTTTTCTTCTTCTTCTTCTTCTTCTTCTTCTTCTTCTTCTTCTTCTTCAACTTCTTCTTCTTCGTCTTCTTCTTCTTCTTCTTCTTCTTCAACTTCTGCACGGGTCGCCATCGCCTCCTCCTCCCGTCTCTGTGACACCCTCCCTCGCTCTTCCGCCGTACCCCCCCACCAGCTCCACGTCATCGGCCGCCATAGCCCCCCTCCTCTCTCATAGCATCCCTCCCTCTCCCCTCTCCATCGCCTCCCTCCTCCTCCCCGATTTGTGCCGCCCTCCCTCCTCCCTCCTCCCTCCTGCCTCTTCCCTCTGCCCTCGCTATTGCTTCCCTCCTCCAGGCTCCTACCTCCTCCCTCTCCCCTCGCTATTGCTTCCCTCCTCCCTCTCCCCAAAACACACACAAATCCACATCAACAGAAATTAGATACGAAGCCGGGTATATGGAGTACTCGGAATGCGCAGAACGGCACCGTAACCCAAAAAAAAAAAAAAAAAAAAAAAAGGGTCATTTTTTGCATGCCCGGGGTACCCCGGGCATGGCGCCCGGGGCGCCCGGCCGGGCGCCCTGGGAAAGCTAGCCCCAGACACTAATTCCAGTTTTAGACCTGTTACTCAGGAGCTGAAACTGGGGGTCCCCCGTACACAACAACCTTGAAGTAAAAAAAAAACAGGACAAAAAAAAAAAAAAAAAAAAAAAAAAAAAACATAAAATTGAAATTTGACCCCCAGACCCTAATTTCAGTTTTGGACCTGTTACTCAGGAGCTGATTAACCACGTGTGGAGCACCTCCAAGGGTTGTAGTGGTTAGGAGACTTCGGTCTTGAGGCTGAGGGTGCCGGTTCAAAGCCGTGCGTGCACGACGGCGCCTGAAGCCCTAAACGCACGTTGTTCAGTAACTAGTATATGCGATGTGGGGCAAAATGTAATTCATCCAAATGATATTCCAACCCCAGGATGCTCGGGGCCACGTCCTGAGTGGGGACTGCGACTCGAGCGCGGAAGTTCCCGTTTATAATATCCTTGCCCCTGCCATTTGTTTGTCAGCTTTCACCATGGCTACGCCAGGCCCGCACACCGTACCAATCCAAACATCCGGCTGAACCTTTGTGCGGATGGCTCCAGACCGTCCGGATTGACCCCGCCTGCAATCAGACGCGCTCTCATTCACACTTCACATGTATGTAAACAGGTTGCGCAGCAAACTGGCGACGAGCGCCCACTCGAAACTCAGAGATATGGCAAACAAGAACACAGTTCAGATTCAACTCGCTTCAGATGGCTATGGCGACTCAGCACCCGTACAAGTCTCTGTTCGTCACTCACTCGTCGCTGCTTAACACACACAGGATCACCCTGGATATCCCACACGCATACACTGCACACTCACACACTCACACACTGAACTCTATCTACAGCTATGGCGGCTATGGCCGCTGCTAACCTATCGCTATGGCTAAGCTCCTTCTCTCTTGCCCACTTCGTCTTCGGGCTCACTGCAGACCACCTTGCACAAGTCGCTGTGGCAGCGCTTCCGCATGGCTCACGCAGGAATGAATGAATGGCTGGACGCTGCCCTTTGATTTATACTTCTGTAGCTCGTTGGTCTGGCCCTTTCCCTTGCCCGTGGTGCACACAGTCCCATGCGGTACTTGCTTGACTGGACTAGGACTGACTGGGACCGGTACTGCTGACTGCATGGGTTTGCACTGCCAACTCGATGCAGTCGCACTGCCGACGTCCTGCAGTTGGGCTCACCACTTGCCCACTTGCCCACTTGCCTCAGCCAAAACGTGAGCAACTTCGAAAGGCCACTACTAGGACCTTCCGGAAGTCTGGGTCCTGGCCTTTCGAAGACTGTACCAGCTACGACCTTGACCCTTCAGGACTGTAGCAGCCACGACGTTGACCTTTCGGAAGTTCTACAGCTACGACTTCTAGAACTCCCTAAGACTTCTACTCGACAGATCTACAGATCGAACCCCTGCTACCTACGGACCCTACGACAGTCTACCAACTGTTACAAATACACAGGTCACGGGTTCAACTCTTGGGGTCGACACAGATACTGTACGCAGGTAAGGTGAGGACTAGGGATCGTGGCCTGGGATCTGCATAGCCCCCTCCGCAATCGCGCACACCCGCTCACCCCCCCTCCCTCCCAAACAAAAGAAGTCCCCCCCCCCCCCCCCGCCCCCTCGTATTTGGCTGCGAATTTCGAGATGATCCTCAGTCGAAAGGTTTTTGTATTGCAATGCTGCATAACATACCATTTTTTTCAGCCGATAACAGAAATAGCAGCCAAGCTATAAGATAAATAAGCTTCGCCAGACCATACAAAAGCTCGACGTGCCCAGGCAAATGCTTTGGTTAATATTTGCCATATGGCATATGCCACCAAATATGCAAATGATACCCAACCACACATGACCTCCCCCAATATCTTCCTTGTTATCTACACTAACTAATCCTCCCACAATATCTTCCTTGTTATCTACACTAACTAATCCATCCTTCTGCCCCCAAAGGAGATTTTAAAATATAACCAAATATTCAATATTGTTCTGGGATTGAGGGTTATATTAGCGATTTTTCTAACATCTCCTCCTCCAGGTGCCCAAGTGTCGTAAAGACCTCCAAACCAGATTGCTTTTGCTACTAATAATAATGCACCCGCACCTAGCAGAATCAAATGAATACCTAAAATAGTAGTCATCCTATTTGTGTCCTTCCGTACATAACCAAACAAAGGAAAAGAACACCGAATTGTGGGCCACTAATGGACAATACGAGGTGTCATTTTTGGCTAATTTTTCACCGAAACTGCCATATTTCCCTCAGTTTTAGCTTTTTTTAAGTTTTTTCTTGTTTTTTTCCTTTTCTTGTGTGTGATATGCATGTGCTTTAGGGTATATCTGTATATATGTATTCAGTTTCAACGTATTTGGACCAGTAATGAAAAAGTTGGCAAAAGCACCGAATTCGGAGAAAATTTTGGCAGACTCCAAAAGCTACTCCAAATAGGGTTTTACAGTGCTTTTGAGTTTTTTGGGAGTTTGTTTTGCCTGGTTGGTCTTATGTTTGTATTATGCGCCTGCATTGTTTGTTCGCGAAATTTTCGACGACATTGCCTTGTGATGAGGCGGAGAAAAACCCCGAATTTTGGGCCTTCCATTAAACATCTCTTGGGCCAATAAGTGCATGATATACACCTCCAAATCCTAAAACAACAGAAGAAATTAAATGCAAGACCCCAGATACATTTTTTGATTTTTTTTTTTTTTTTTTTACACGTCAGAGTTTTCTATGAGCTCTTGGGAGTCATCAGCCTGTTATCCCCAGTGTACCTTTGATCCGTTGAGCGGGAGCCCTTCCACACGGGGCCCCCTGAAACGGACGGTCTGGACCTGACACCGGTCCGGGACATCCGGATCGAGACTGTCCACACTGTGATCTGGACGTACGGATTGCAGCCCTGGTTTTCATTCTCTAGTACTTCAAGTCAGTGGGTGGCAAAGAGGGTCTCTTCCGGTCGTCATCACTGACTTCACTGTTGAATAATTAGAGTTCACTGTGTAGTCATTTTGCCTTGCGCAATAAAGCTAATGTAGCAGTGGTGACGGGCACTATTGTTGGTTGGTTGCAGGTATCCTCTCTATGGTGGCATGCAGGATTGGAATTACATTCATGGCCATTGTTTGGAGCTGACTATTGAGACATGTATGTCCAAGAGCCCCCAACCTGACCAGGTATGTTCGAGAAATAGGTCTATAATTTTCTGTATGACTATAGACTTCCACACACACACAAAAGAAAGGCCAACTGTCTAGAGATATATCCACAGGTGACCGCCCCAGGTAATTCCAGATCATTATTATTGGTCTCTAATGTATATGATATCTGAGTACGGATGCCGCCCGGCCGGACGGGGCCGGGTGGGCCGCCCAGGCAAACCGGGCGGGCAAAAAAACAACCCAGAATTTTTTTATTTTTTTTTTGAAAGCGGGGTCCCTCTGTGCTCGGCGAGAGGCCCCCGAATCTGCAATAAAAATTCTGGTTTGGGGGGGGGACGGGTTGTCTGGGTGCGAGGGGGGGGTAGGGTCTGGGTGTTGGGGACTCTGCATGTATGTAGGGTTTTTTTTTTTTTTTTTTTCCCTGCCGCGTCTCACGCGACCTACCAAACGATGGACAAGATGGCGGCGGCGGCAGGTCGGTATGGTGTGGTGG